GAGATATAGTGACATCCTGGATGGCCTCACTCCAGGGCTCAAGCAAGAGGGATTTTTTTTTTGTGTGGATGGTTTGCAGGAAGGTTGTTCACTGCTAATGCATGGTTTATATTTGTGGTTATCACTTGTAGGGACCCCAGGTCAGCATGGAGGGCTGAGAGATGGGTGCTGCACAAACACAGACTGGGCTTGGGGGAGGGATATAAAAATAATGACAATGGCAATGATTCAGCAGAAGAAAATCTGGCTTTACTTCCTCGTCAGAACAGTTTATGTAACCAAAGAGTATTGAGCCTATAAAAAACTTCAGACATGCTCCAGTGCATGCAGTTCTGAGAAGCAAAAAAACCCCCAAAACCAGTATCACTTCATTTGAGTCATATATGGAACAGTGTGAAAGCTTCAAATGAGTTAATCTGCAATTATGTTTTATGCTTAGGTGGGTTGTCCCCTGGCACCGAGCTTTCCATCCCAAAGCACCCCATACCAGCAAGAGTAAGGAACTAGCCTGTGCCAACAGAAACCTTACTGGATTTGTAAGAAAGGTTAAATTGGAAGGAATCCAGGGTCTGGAAAAGTTTACTGGGGGGCAGACCTCATCGCTGTGACTGTCTTGTGTAACTCCTCTCTCCCCTAAGAGAACTGAGCGTGGAGTCTGGCCCTAAGACCTTGGTTTTCTCTTCTGTAGTACATAGTGAAGACAATATCACTCTGACATTCAAAGCTTCATAGTCTATTGAATCAGTGTCTGCTCTCCACAGCGCAGTGGAAGCTTCTCCGCTCTTGGTTGCAGTTCCTGCTCTGCACACCGTGCGAGGGAAGGAGTCATGGTGCTGCACATTTCAGTTTTGGAACAATGTGGGTTAAACCTGTTGGTACAGACCACCCCTGCTTAAACAGCATCACTTCTAGTTTTAACCTGTAATGCATTAGAAACTGATTTCCCATCCTCGTTCCTCTAAACACAGCCAGATGCAGCTCCGAGAAAGCCTCTCCTTACTGCTGCTTGTAAGGAAAATCAAAGAAACTCAACGGCACCAATAGATACATCATTCACTTCAGAGAAACTCAAAGGAACACTGAGGTTATAAGTGCAAAGCAATGACACAGCTAACACCATCCATTGCAAAGGAAAGCAGAATTTGAAGGAGAAAGAGGAACATGAAAGTTCAGGATTTTTTTTAAGAGTTAAAACACGCAAGATTTGCCAGTGACACTGCTGCCCGTCTCCTGGAAGATGCACTTCCCAGAGAAGATCAGCCTGGCTTCAAAGTGGCAAAGTCTCTTAGTGGTACAACTTCTGCATATAAAGAGTTCATGACCGTTATTGCGTCCAGTGGCCAACTTATTCCCAGCGAGTCCCAGCATATGCAGAAATACGCTGTGGCAGGATGCGCTGATCCAGATGCAGTGAAGCCAGGCAGGATGGGGGAGCGTTTTTGATGGGGAGCAAAGCAAGGCTGCAATGAACCCCTCACACCACCGCCTGACAGCCTTGGATGTGCTCCAAGAAGGCTTTCTCCACAAGCCCAATTTGCTTGCGAGGAGAGCCACAGCAGCTAAATGCTCCATGTGCCAGCGTCCTGGCCATAGGGAACATCTTTCCCAGAGATGCCCGTACACCAAGTCATGGCTTAGTTTCTTCAAGAGTTGTTTCTATATGCTTGCTCTTTAACATCTTTTTAAGATCATTGATACAGATACGGTCAGACAGGTGAGGGGGTTACTGTAAGATTCTGTGATGGGTAAGTCTGTCATCTAGGTCTAATGGGAGACTTCAAATATCTGCCCCAAAAAACAAGTTTTGTAGTGTTTTCAAACCTTGAAACTTCTTAGGAGCTTCATCAGCTCTGCAGGTATGACAGTGCAGGTGCCCATGGAGAGCTGATGACCCTCCATGGAGCCACGTGGCTCGCTGAGCAGTGGACTGGGCTCTAAGAGCAGGAGCTGGGCTGCCCAAGTGGAGCAGCCTATAGAGGGTCCACTTGAGCCCCAGGGAGAACACTGACTTTTCTCAAGCCAAGCAAGCTATGACCTCTTGCAGGAGTAGGATGAGGAAGATGTGCAATTAATCATTTACTGGAAAGTGCCATTGCTGCTGCTCTGCCTGTGCACACCTTGAGCTGTAGGGTTGAGCTACAAATCCGCTTTCATGGAGACTGGCTCTGCTTGTTTCTTGTGACTTGGGCAGGAAAGAGTTTCCTCACACGAGCATGAAAAGCCCTGGTTAACATCTCCTCCATGGTACGATTGTCACACGGGTAACACATACCTCCTCCCTTTGCAGCCTCTTGTTGCTCCACACTAGCCCCGTGTTTAATCTCAGGAAGCCCTATAGGGATGGTGGAGAATTTGGCCAGGTAAGCAACATGCTGAGCCTGGCTGCTGATGGATGCTGGCAGAGTCCCATCCAGCCTTGTACCTGGCACTTGGCAAAGATGTGGGATCACAGGTCAGGTTGGGACGGAGACCAGGAGGTCTCCAGACCAACCTTCTGCTCAAAGCGAGGTCAGCTGTCAGCTCAGGCCAGGTTGCTCAGGGCTTTGTCTAGTTGGACCTCTACATCCAAAGCCTGAAGAAGCACTGCTGTCTAACACCAGCCCAGAAAAAGTGCTTCAGTCTTTCCTATTTTCCCATAATAAGTGGTCATTGAATCCTTTTGGATTGGGGGCAGGTGAGAAACCCACCCGTCACTCAGCCCTTGCTGTGATGGTCACTGTCGGACGAGCAGTGCAGTAACATCTGAA